GTAGAAAGGGCGTTCCAGCTTCCACGTCAAAACCCATACGTGGATCAAAATAAAATGCTAACTTGTATGGAGATCTATTTCATTGATAGTTATGATAATACTTCGCATTAATGCAGCAGCTTTATTTCTTTAAACCAAATTCTATAGCTCTGAATGAACAGGCATTACACAGTGTTTTGGCAGCAATATATAATCGCTACAAAATGCAGTTTGTGGTATCCAGCTGTGATTCTTGAAGTGCACGTTTTCACATGTACAATTTATTCTACTGTGGGACAGGGGTTTATGGGAGTTGGAAGGAGAAACAAAAAGCATATTATGGTGCATTCGGCCCACAAAGTAGCACTTCCTCCTCTGAAGAGACTGACGGCGAACCTCATTAATAATGCTGTGGTGGAGCGGTGGGAGGTCCAGGGTCACCGTTTATCGCTGGGCAGGAAGGGTCTGGTCAGCAGGGCCTTCCAGGGGAAGCCAGTGACTGTGCTCCAACGGGGTAGTGACACACCTCCCCTACAGTACAGTCACCCACAAACATGCGGCAGGCCCCGCGGGGTCTCCCAGGGCGTCTCCCAGGGCCTGTGGAGGGGAATGCCTGCAGGAGAAGCCTTGGGTGCAAACGCTGACATGCTGTTCGTAGATCCTATTGACCCTCTGATCTTGAGTGGTTTTTGGCAGGAGTTTGGGGAAATCAGACCATCCATTTATGAGTTCTTGTGATGCTTGTAGTTGTAAGGATTAGCATTTAAAAGGAGCGGAATAATGTGACAGCTAAACTAATAAACGAGAAGCTTTTGAAAAAGTAAATATATAAACTGGTGTAATGTATAAATAACTATACATTGTATAACTTTATATGTTTCATAAATGGATTTCCAGACATTTTATGCTATTCTTTTTTGTTTTTCTTTCATTTTACACCAGGTTAATATTTTATGTGTGTTCTTTCATTATTAACATTATATGCCCATTATATGGGTTACTTTAATGTAAAATCAGGTTGCTGCTTTTCGTCCAGTTATCACTGAGATCATGCTTCATTAGGCATATGCTCGGTGGCCTAAACGTCTCTCTGCACAGCACAGTTCCTAAAATCAGTGGGTTCAAGGAGACGTCCTTCAATCTGCTATTCTGATGCAGTTTGTATCCCATGATTGACCATAATGAAAGTCAACTTGAAGAGCAAATTTGTTGGGGGCCCTTGTTTCATTCTGATGTCACTTCATTGTTTTTAACCCAGTTTCTTTCCATTGAAGTTGTTTTCTCAGTTGCACACAGTGCAGCTTTCTTGTCTTCGCTTGCCAAGAACCAGCTCTTGATGACTCTGATTGGTACATCTGGCAGCCAATAGCAAGAAGCTTTGAGCCCCCCCATTTATCAGGTTAATATGAGTATCCCTGACGAAGTTGCTGGTAGCTGGTCTGTTTTCCAGCAGAGCTGTGTGATGGCCAGTTTTTTCCTCCTGTTCCAGACACATCTAGTCAGCATACAGGGTCTCTCAGGCCATCCCTAACACGTCCCAGTCCTCCACGTTGGCCTGTCTCTCACACGTCCCTGTCCTCCACGTCGGCCTGTCCCTCACACGTCCCTGTCCTCCACGTCGGCCTGTCCCTCACACGTCCCTGTCCTCAACGTCGGCCTGTCCCTCACTCGTCCCTGTCCTCCACGTCGGCCTGTCCCTCACTCGTCCCTGTCCTCCACGTCGGCCTGTCCCACACCACAAGAGCATATATGCCCCACCCCTTGAAACCTCGAGGAGACATCATACCAGCAAAGCCCCCCACACGCCACCACCGCTGACACCACCCGACGTTTTCTGTCAGCAGATGAGAGACAGTTTGCACACTCCAAGCCTGTGTGGTCCGCCCGCCTGCCTGGGCGACGTAATGCTGGTCCCATTCCAGCCACTGCTTGTCACCTCACGAGCGGCTCGTCTGTCTGGATGCTCCGTGACGGCTGAGTGCCCAGAGCTCTCGCCTGCTTTTTCCACCGAGGAGGAGCAGGATGCGTGGAAATGTTCCCTCCTGTCCCCTATTCTTTGTGTAAACAGCAGCTCTAAAATGAACAAGCGCATCAGCGAAAATATTTAAGTGTGAATTATCGACCTAGACTGGGAATTTAAAATTCTATTAGTCAAGTATTATGGTGTATTATTTTCATATTTGTATATTCCAGTAATTTATTGCGTGAGCAGATTTCCAGTGAATTTGGAATTCCTGGAGTCCATTTTAGGTAGTACTGGGCATTAGGCAGGAGATGAACATACCTGTCAATTACTGGACACAAACTAGATCTTACCTAGTTCTTGATTATGAAGTACTGTACTTAGTCTTGTTCAGGTTTTCATAGTAATTAATCCCATGTGTTCCAAGCTAAGATTTTTTTTTGCCTGATGCAGAAATTATGTGGAGACTTTGTGTCTTAAACTGCTGCTGAATTTAATGTCCAGTCTTCTCTTACTTTTATTCCCTCCATTGCCTCTTTCTTTCATGCAAGCCCCCCCTTCCTCATTGGTTTTCAGTTTTTTTTTTTGGGGAGGGGGGGGTAGTGTCCCTGGTTGTGTGTTGGAGCAGGCTGATTCAATGGAGGGCCGCGCCCACACACGACGGGCACTCCCGTCAGCGCTGCGGGGGCAGGGACCCGGCAGGGCGATTAATTAGGAGCCGCACGGAAAACGGGGGTAGCGCGCGGGAGGGCGTGCAGAATGGCGATGAATGCACACTTTGAGACTGTCATAAAGGCTTCAGTGATTCGGGGAAGTGGGAGCCGGGGGGCCCCGAGCTGGGGGCGGTGCCGTATTCTCACAAGTGTTATTTTGGGGGTGACATCAGCATCTGGCCCCCACCTCGCCATTACAAGGTGACGCACAGGAACAGTAAATGCATTGACAAATACGGGTGTAGCACGACCTTGAGGGAGTTGGACACCCATCTGTCCCACAGAGTTGCGTTCACTGCCCACCCCTATCATGACGAGTGACTCTGGGGTTGACATTGGGAATTACATCTATCCTTTCATCGGTCAATCATCCAACTCTCCATTCACCCATCCATCTGTCATCCCTTTATCCAGTCATCACTCATCCATTCATCCATCTATCATCTGTCTACCCCTTCACCCATCCATCATCATCTATTAATTCATTCATCTGTCATCTATCCATTCATCATCCATTTTCATCCCTCTACCCATTCATCCATCATCTATCATCCATCCATCCATCCATCCAACATCTACCTGTTCATCCATCCATTGTCATCCCTCAACCATTTCATTTTCATGTCTTCAAAATATCATTCATCCATCCGTAATCCATCAGTCCACTCACCCCCCCCATCTCGCTTCAATACTGTTCCTTACGTAGCTGGTTACATAAAAGGTTACAAATACGTTTTATCAAAATCACATAGTGAACCGATATTGCCGTTTACAATAATATTAGTAAAGTGATTGTAAATTTTGGCATTATCTTCTTATAGTAATATCCATCCATCTTCTGAAACCACTTGTCCTATTCAAGATTGCATTGGGAATCTGGAGCCTACAGAACAACCCAGGATGGGGCACCAACCCCTTGGAGGTCACACTCACACATGCACACCTGCATGCAGTTTTATGAATCCAATTAGCCTCAGTATGTTTTTGGACTGTGGGGAGGGGGAGAACTGGAGCAGCACACTCCACAACAACATGGGGAGAACATGCAAACTCCACACACATGGAGTCATGGTGGAGACTTGAACTTGGGTTCCAGAGGTGTGAGGTGACAGTGCTAACCTCTGCACCACCACGCCGCCCCTCATTTATAGTAATATAATATGTACAGCACATTCCTCTAGCCATCTCCTATAACTGTTTAGGTGCTTTCACACCACAGGAACTTCTTTCTGGAACCAAAACCTTTTTCACTGAACTTTTGAACTTTTGCTGTGTTCACAACACAGGAAGTCAGCTCGATTGCTATGGAACTCCAGAGTAGGTACTAAGGGCTTATAGTGACAACTCGCTGATTGATTGACCACTTGGAAGTGCAGAGAAAAGAGATACGAGTAGTGGAGTAAAAATTGAGGAGATGGATTTTTTTTGTACCTCAATTACATTTAATGCATCGATTTATTTTTTTGCTTGCATCTCCATATTTCTCCATCAGAAAATTTGATCGGTAACCAATATACCTTTGTTTAATTAGCAGGATAACATTACCTCGTTTTTTTTATTCCGTGGAAAGCGAAAGATCAATCTGCTAACCAGATTTACTCGTAATAAGAATCATTAACATTCCACCAGTCGTATAAATAAAATGTAAATAAAAGGCTGTGTTCTCCCAATCCTCCCAATAACTAACAAATAACTGACTTTTTTATTCTTCATTGTTTTGGCGTGGCGGTGTAGTTTCATATGAAATCGCATGTGAAGTTTAACATACAAACCTTTTGCATCTGCCAGTTCCTGTTGTGCAGTGCGAAAGCAAAACACTAAAGTGGCCGGTTCCAGGTTCAGGAACTTTGGTGTTAAAGCACCTTTTATTCAGGACAGAGTAGTCATTAGTATGTCTAATGCTTGTAGATGCGTTTTCCTCCACTGGTCAGTGAGCGCACAGGGTATATAATGGTGTCTCAGAGCCAACCTTTTCCGTTCACTCACTCCATGTCTCTCCGAATCGATGTTCTTCAGGTGGGATGCCAGCGAAAAGCCCCTGTATGGAAGTCGTTCATTGATAATTGTGCAGAACGGGTCCAGGTTAGGCATTACATCAAACTGATCACTGGCACCTTAAACCTTATACGGCTTCAGCATATGTAGACCTGAAGTCTCTCTCGAATCAGTTTTTGCTGATTTTTGCAGCTGCCATGACACAGATCACCTGACTTCATACCTACTTACAATTGGCCGCCTGTTCTGGGGCCTCATTGTATAAAGTGCCAGAAATATCAGAAAGTCAATGTTAGGGGCAGCGGCGTGCAGTTCCCCTTGAAACATGTCTCTGTCCATCTCCACTACAGGCACTGACCAAGTCAGCAGTCCTGCAGCAGCAGGAAGTCAGCGAGAAGCACCTTGAAGTGGCCGTGCAGAAGCAGCAGGAGAAGTGCGAGGGGCTCCTCGACGCACAGGTAACAGAGCGGGGCCTCGCGGCGACCGGGGAAACAGAGCCCCGGCTCCGGCACAGGGAGCCTCTTTGCGGGGCGAAGGAGCCAAAGTTCCCAAAGAAAGCAAACATGTCATTTTGCATTAAATCACATCTTTATCCAAAGACTTGATGAAGTTTAATCAGGTCAGAAAACCCCTCCCCCCCCCTTTCCATTCAAATGACACACCGAATTTATGGCTTTTGTAAATAATATCTTTCCACGGTTAAGATAATATGAGTTGACTATTCTGTTCAAATTCTCTCTGGACAGAAGTTACATAACAAGAAAGTGTATACTTTTCACTGCATACAAATGGTAAAAATTACAAGTTATATAAATGAAATAACGTCATACTTGACATGCATGAAATTGACATTTCAATCTCATATTTTTGATTCAGATTTATTGTTTGAGCGACGGGGTGGTCATTACACAGGTGCCAAAAGCCTATTCTTTCTGTCTGCCTTGCCCTTAAATATGTTTTTAAATCCTTCCTCAGTTCTTCCCAAATTTGTTGCTCCCTAAGGGGAAACATTCTGTACTCTCAGCTCGTTTCCTTAAAGTTCTAAATTTGTTGTAGATTTAAAGTTTTCAAAGTGCTTCCATGTGCCACAAAGCGTGGTTGAGGCACTTGGCCCAATGCACTTGGGGGGGGGGGATTGCTTCCCCTGACAGGTAGCATCTGTTTCGACAGCCCCCACTCTGGCCTGTGTCATCCCGTGCCAGGCTCTCAGAACAACGCCCCAGGAACCCACCCAGGCGCCTCTTTCTGATGCCCTAAAACACCTGATTGTCCACTGCCCCCGCCCCCCGACCCCCGACCCCCAATTCTGGAAACTTCCCTGAAGATGTTTGGTTATTCAATCAGGACTTAATCGCGGCATGCAAAGATTCCCATTGCCCACCAGCAAACAGAAAATTCATTGTGTTCTCTATAGCCCCCCCATACCTAACGGTGAGGAGATGTGGGAAG